GTTAAATGTTTTTCCAAGTATATGGTGTGCTGCTTAGTCTGGAAAAATACATCAAAATCAAGATTGTATGTGCAATCTGCCCTTCTGGAGGAGGGGAAAGGCTCAGAATTAGAGGACTGTCCCTGCTCTTGAAGTAGTAGATCCTTTTTGGACCTGTTTGTGACTTTGCCCTTAAAAGGTTCTCATTAGGGGTACTTAATGCAAATCTCCTTAAGTAACTCCTGCTCAGCCAGAGGTGAAGAGTCATGTCTGTCTGTCTGTGTCCTCACAGGCATCTGATCACTGCCCTCCTTGTCTGAGTACTCATTGCCTGCAGGAAGCAAACTATACAGAACTGTAAAATACTTCTGCTTCTTCTGGGGAAATCTCACTTCGGAAGCTGACCTGCCCCTAACTGTCAGCAGATCAGCAAATTAAATAGCCTGCGACAGCAAAAATGCGTTGAGCAAAGACACCTTGGGACCGAGAAAGGGATATTTCTTGTTCTGCGGGTTTCCAGCATAAAAACTTCAGGCAGAACGCGATCTTTACGGAGCTGAACTGCTTACGCGCCAATTTGCAGACAAAATTTCCGGTGTTCTGCAAACGGGACTGGAAAACCAGTCAAAAACGGCTCCTGGTGTGGCAAGCGGGCAGATAGCCACAGCGGCAGGGGGCTGGTGGGAGCGTGGCCCCTCTTCCGCTGGAGAGCAGTACCTGCCCTGCCTTCTGCAGGAGATGCTGTGAAAAGGGACCAGGAGCGATGCACGGCCCCATTAAAGTCGTGGTTGTCTTTTTTTTCTTTGGAACTAATAATTCATTCAGCTCAAACGGAGTGAAAAGGCAAGGTGAGCTTCGTGTTAAGGTAGGTATAAAAATATTTGCGGTACAGAATGCAGCTGTATGTGCCCTCTGCAGTGCAACTGGCAGCGTGCGCCATGTAGGAAAAAAATCTGGGTTTGGAGGTAATGATCCACAACCAACTTGCCAGATTCTGTGCTAAGACCCTGCAGCACAGCTGGAAAATTATGAGAACAAATCCGAAGTGATCCCTTTATTTTTTAAGCCCAAATCTTGCAGGGAATAATTTTTCACGCATAGTTCCTGCCACGAGACAAGCTGCAGGAGCGTGGAGAAGGTGAGGGGTGGGGTTCCCGTCGTCCTCACAGCTGTCCTGTGTCCTGTTTTATTGTCAGCTCTGGCCAGTTGGATTAATAATAGAACGCCTGGACAACTTCGTTCCGTTTCCAACAGGTGGAAGCCCTCTTCCCCAAATTCCTCCGTGGTGGTTGGGAGCCTGGTCTGTCGAGGAAAGGGGGGGAGGGAGTCTGAGGGGCTCGAGCCAATCTTTCGGGGGGGGGTTTCTGGGGGGTGGGAGCCAATCTTTCTCGGCTGCAATAGCCAGCTGCCCCTGGCTAATTTTAGAAGGGGTGTGCAAGAGTAGGATGGAGTGGAAAACTTCCCAAACCTCTCTTAAAGCTGCAATAACCACGTTAGCCTAAAATGGGATTGGGGCTCTTTACTTGTAATTTATAATCTGTCTCCATCCACCACTTGCAGCCTTTGGGCAGCGCTCGCTGTGGTTCTCTCTTGTTGCTTTGCAGTTTGGTGACCAGTTCGTCAAACTGGGGCCTGTTCAATCCACCCTTTTCTCTCGGCTGGGGCTGTCTGCAGGTAAACAGTTTCTTTCTTTCTAATCTTAGAGAATTTCACAAGATGACTGTGTTTTCTGTGAGAATGCCTTTCTTTGTGATGTTTGCCTGTCGAGCTCTCCTCTCCTTGGTAGCGAATCTCTGAAAAAAAGTTCATCTAGAGTTTTACAATTAAGTTCCACTGGCAGATACAGAGAATAAATAGAAGAAGCAAAACAGTATAGACAAACACTGCCTTTTAATTTTATTTGACTGACTGAAAACAAATGATTTTCATGTCTGAGAAAATCCTAATGCGATGCCTTGTTTGCCTGAAGATGAAAAGCAGGAGCATGAAACTAGATTAACTGCTTCCAAGCAGAAAAGAGAAACTGTGTTTAAAAGCATAATTAAAGAGGTAGTGCATTACAAAAGCACTGAATAATTCAAATAGGTTGCCAATCCAGCAATATTAAACAGTAAATTGAAGCAAACACCCAGGTGATGACAGGGAATGTAATAATTTAATTTGCCTCAGTCTGCGATCAGGGCTCCCATATGCTGTAGTAATACTGTTCTCATTGACTGAAATTGTCATTATTATTATCATTACTTTACAGTTGTCTCCTGCATTTGGGAGAGCAGCGCTTGGAGGATTCAGGAGGGAATTAGGCACTACTTAACCACTTTTTCCCACTGGAGCTATGCTTGTCCTTTGGTCTTCACACGCTTTTTCCCCTCATCTGACACAACAAAATCATTTTCAAAGGTTTAACCACTGCCACCTCAAAGCTTACCTCTTGTTTCAAAGGAGGTGTGCTTACGCTGGAAAATGCACTCTCTAATTAGTTTGTCTATGTAAAAGAGCCAAATTAAGGTTAAATAGCTATCCTGTGACATGATTAAGTTCTGTGTTGCCTGAGCTTTGCAGCTGTAATGGTCTCTTGGTCTTTAG